ATATCTTCCTCACATTTGGTTACATTTATAATTATAGAGCACGGGCCCCAAAAATAAGAAGAAAGAGACATTTGATTTCTTTTTCAACCTAGTTCTTTACATAAAGAATATTATGTATTATAAACATTGCCCTAATGCAGAAAGAAATGCTGTGCATGTAGTCACATCATAATTAGCATTATTTTCCTTTGTCATTAACATACTAGCTACAGATTAAGGCTGTGTACTTCCATGTGAAGAAGAGGAAAAAGATGAGGAAGAGATTGCTTCCTGTAATTTCTCAGTCCACAACTTAATTTTATGGACACTTTGCTTTCAAAGAGTACCAGGAGAAGTTGCCATGACTTTGGCTAAGACATTAGTTGTATCACCTTCAGACAATTTTTTTCTTATGAAATACTGTTATTGATACGTACCTCTATGCTTTTTTGGCAATTAAATGAGACTGTTCAATGGGCAGGAAAAGTGATAGATTTGAATAAACATTTACCTGCTTTTTGTTTTTATTTATAAATGCATATCAATGTGGAATCCAACTGTCTGAAAAGATTGTTTCCCAAAATAAATGATGTCACATTTTAGGTATCAGACATCATAGGGATGCTATTTAGGTAGATGTATTGAACTTTATTCCCTTTATATTCCTTTCAAGACCTCAGTTATTTTTCAAGTTTTCTTTTTTTTTTAACTGTATCAGTTATTTAATTAAGTTCTTAGTAAGAAATTTAGGGGCCAGAGAGATGGCTCAGTAGAATAAGTGCTTGCCTGGCAAGTGCAAGGGCCTGAGTTCAGTCGCCGGTTCTGAAAAAGAAAAGAAAAAGAAAAAGGAAAGAAAAAAGAAATTTAGAACACTAATTTCATAAGGTAAGTTCCATTTGTCAGAGCAAAAACAGATTGCAGGTAGCCCCAGAGCTGGAGAACAGCTTTGATTTTTGCTAAAATCTGTGAGTCCACCATTTTCTGATCTACCTTGTGCTTCCCTGAACTCTGGTATCTCTCTTTCTCGGTATTGAAGATCTTGCCCTCGTAGTAACTGGGTTTCTGCAGCTTCTTCTTCTTGAAGTAAACATCGGTGAGGTGTTTGGGGATTTTCACGTTGCTGATATCAATTTTTGTAGAGGTGACAATGACAAATTTCTGGTGTGTTCTTCATAGAGGAACGCGATTAAGGCTAAGAGGCCCAGTCACAAGCAGCAAGTCACTGGCCAATTGCTTTAGGAAGACCACTCTCTTGCCTCTGTGATGCCCAGTGGGGATGATCAAGATGGTGCCAGGAGTGATGCTAGCTCGAAGTTTTCTTACATGCCAGCTTGAATTTTTCTTGCCATGGCTCAAAAGCTTGTGGAACACATCTTTAGTAGGGAAGTATCTAGGCATTTTTTGAAGCTTAACCCCCCTGGGTATTTCCATTCTTGTCCCCACTGACTGGTTTTGTGATCGTAGCAAGAACTTTCTCCTTCTTTTTCTTCTCAACCTTTGATTTATTAGCTGTGTGCTTTCTCTTGTACAAAGCCTTTCTGGAATACATCACAGATCAGGAGTACCTTCCAATTCCTCTAACCAGGACAGGATTTCAGCTGCAGAGGGGCTGCCCCTTGTTGGACTTGTTTGCCTTCACTTTACCCTTTTTACCAGTATCACTTGCAGAAGCATTCTTGGCTTCAGGTTTCTTCTCTTTAGTGTCTGGCTTCTCAGTTTTTTTTACCTGCCATCTTGCAAGATGGTAAAGAGAACTAAGTTTATATTTCTCAATTTTTCATGTACAGTATCAGCCTAAACTCTCAGAGCAGAATTTATTTACCTTGTGGATAATTCTTAGGTAAAATGTAGTTCAGAGAGCTGGACAAGCTCTTACTTAAGAATTCTCATCATTGGCCACATCAGTACACCAACATTGACTGCCAAGCATGGATTCAACTGCCAGTTTTGAAATTCTTACTAGGATAATAGTGATCATTTGCTCAAAAGCAGGGAAGCATATACACAAATACTTACAATTTATAGACTCCCTTTACATCTGTTTTCTTTAGTTTTCCTCTGAGTATGGATGGAATGCCAATGACAATTCAGGATAATCCATGTTGCCATTCACTAATAGTATTTGTTTGAATACCCTGTCTTTGTACCTTGTCTGTTATACCTGTACCCCAGGGACACTGGACAATATGAGGTTCTAATCACAATTCCATTCACTAAGTGTGTGCTGGAGCTTGTAATGAGTTTGTCTAAAGCCTTTCACACCTCTGCTTTCCATAGAAGGTTCATTTACTTTTTTGAAACAGAACAGAGCTGTTTTTAGATTTCCCTGATTTCTACAGACAAGTTGCTCCTGGGAGGCTGCTGTAGAAAATATTCACAAAGTCACAATCTTAGCTGACTGGCTGATGTGTGAATAGGGAACAGCAGCCAGAAAGCCCATGTCTTGTATGCTTTGTCTTAGCCTCCAAGTTATTAATTGTACATCATAGCACTCTCTTTCCTCTAAATACGTGTCTAACTCTTTTATTAAAACTTCATACTAATTACTTCCATTGCATCCCTTGATGGGTTGATTCCATATGCAATGTATTAATTACTCTCTCTGCAAAGACTCTAACAAATTCCTTTGGTGTCTGTCCCTTATTGCTCCTTAAAATTGTATCCCTTCATTTCCCTTACTTGATGATAACTTATTCCACTTGTTTTTGCTCCTGTTCTGCTTTCTTCTTATCAGCACTTACAATGGTAGCAGGATTTTCAGCAAAGTAGTGCCAAAAGTGAGTCTATATCCTTGCACATATGTTGTTTCAGCAGACTGTAACATCTAATGGACATATTCTGATGGGCTAATACCTTTTTATGCCTTTAAAGTGTTTGGGACATGAATGGCTGTGTTCAGAATCTTAATTCACTGTAATAAAATTGCTAACTTCAGTATTAATGAGAGAGTGGAAGGCCAAGATGGTAAGTGAAGAAGGGAAGATGAAGACAGTAGAAAGACAGATAGAAAAGAATTGAGTGAAGTTTTCCATTTTACCCTTATAAACAAAAAGCACAAGAACCTCTTGCAATGATAATAATGGATCACATATGTCCATAATTTACATTATCACACACAAAATGGAAAACACCCAGGCCTATAACAAAGCATCAGGCAAAGGATTACTTCTTTTTTGTTATAAAATAAATAAATGGTACTTAGCTCAGGTAAAAAAAGGAAAAACCATCAGGACAAGTCTTCTGGGTTATATTTAGACGCCTGCTCAAAGCCTCATGCACTCATAGATGGGGCTTTGGGGAATGACTTGATGCATGATATTGGGTTATTCCACTAACTGATTTATCATGGCTCTGGGTATGGATATAGGAATTATTGAAGGGGTTGTGGATGGCATCCACCAATAGGTATGTTGTCTACACAGAATAAAGAGGGACAAAAGCAGAAAGGCTTAGGTTTCCCGTCTACCAGAACAGGAGCTGTTTCTCCTCTTTCTCTCAGCTCCTCCATGTTGACTTGAAGTCAGCTAACTATGGACTAAAACCTCTACATAGTAGCCAACATCCAGTGTCAATGGAGGAAAGGTTCATTTCAGATCTCAGTTTGTAGAGGTTTCAGTCATATCAGCTGGGTCCAAGGCTCAGTGGCATAGTGGAGGATGTGGAAAAAAAAAATGGTCCATAGCAAAGTAAGCAAAAACCAGCAACAAGCAGTGGGCTATCGTCCTGTTATTAAGTAATGTAATTATCACACATCTTTACCTCATATTCGTATAGCCTGAATTTACATTCACATGCCCTAGATTCAGCCACCCTGAAAATCCCCAACTAGGAATACATACAGATTTGTGGGGACATCTATATATAAGTCATAACATATATTGATTTTGTATCAGTAATTTTGGAAAATGAGAAGTGAATCTGCACTTTGCCATTTGTGCATGTGATTCAAAAGTGTATCATGAGTTTTGTCATTAAAAAACTCTAACATTTGGAGATCACTACTCTAAAGACTGTGCTAAAATTTTATTTCCCAGTAATTCAGGTCAGATTATAATACTGTTTTTTGGAACACCGGATAATCAGCATGTGACCAATAGTGCACAAAGTAATCTATGCAAATTAGCAGAACAATAATCATGCTTTTAATCTCCTTGGTTTTGAACCTATATAAAATTATCAGAGCTTATTGTTAAGTATGACTAAAATAGCCAGAGAAGAATAAAAATACTGAATCATCTTCAGTAAGCTTAGGCACTAGTTGAGACTAAGTGCCTATTGCTTCTAACACTGATCTTACTCAGTCCTTTTAATCTTCAGTTTTAAATCTGTAAGATGAAAACAATTCCTACCTTACCAATATTTTCAAAAAGACATATTTTATGATAATAATTTTAATACTGAGGAAATAAGTACTTATTTTTTAACCATGGATCAAAGTACTTACCTATTAATTCCCCACCTTTTCCTTATTTATTTTGAAAGGCAAAAATACTTAATTCCAGAAATAAATTGTTTAAACCTATTCTGATTGTTTTCTATTCTGTTCTGTTCTTCTTTATTCTATTTTGCCTTCTGATATCTCTTTGATGAATTAACTAATCTCATTGGGTACATGAAGCCTATAAATTAATTCTGAGAAGCCTAGAAGCTTTGGAAATACCTTGGAGCTCACATTTAATTACATGGAGATAGTTCTTCTCAATTTATTCTGTGAAATAACTAGACATTTAAAACACTTCCCTATAGATCTGCATCTCAAAGCGTAGGCCTGCCTTGAAGGGACCCTTCATAAGAACTTGAGGCTGGAAACGGGATCACCATTGCTTTATTGATGTTATGTGCCCAAGGCAGCCTTCCAGAGAGTTTTCCTATGTTGTATTTCACTATTACAACTCCATCATGGTCAATTAGTAAGACAGACTCCTGGCTTTTAGGCTTGAAAATGAGGTTTCTTGATTATTTATGTTTCTAAAATGTTATTGAGTAATTCAGCTTAGTAAAGATCTTCGATGTGTTCCATCATGATGACTGTAAATCCAGGTGTTAATGCCCTCAGATGGCCCATCATCTCACTGGAGATACCTAATAAAGCGGCCATTAACCGACAGAATATGGTGATGTAAACTATAGTGTGAGCTGAACTTTCCATTACCAAGAATACCACTGTGGAGGTGGAGAAGATTATCTAAGTAGGAACTAGCCATGATCATAAAGAAGCCACAGAAACAAATATGTTACCTATCCTCAGCCAATATATGTGTGCACAGGGCATCAAGCCTGAAAGGTAGGTAGGCAGGAGAGATTTGATTTGTTGCAAAGTACAACTAAAAGGATGGATTGCTTTCACACTGTAGCCATTAGGCAGTAATAGTACGCAACAGCTTCTACCAAAGCTTCTTTTCCCCAGTGGACATTCAGTTATTCTCTCTTTGGCAAATCTGGTATCAAAGATGACTGAAAATTAGACTGTGGAAAGTGAGACAAGCTTATGTTTCTGTCTGTAAGTACACCAAAAATACCTCCAATCTGTGTACAAGTTTTCATTTAGTTTTATGATTTTGAGAGAGGACACATGTAAATAACTCCAATTCCTTAAAAAAATGATAGGTGAGGTAGAGGTATAGGGAACAAAACTGAGAATGTGACCTGCATTTCCAATGTGCTGCTTCTCTGACACCATAACTCAGTGGGAATACACTCGTCACAGGTCTCCAGTTCTCTTCCACTCGAGGGGAGATGTCAAGTTGGGATTTACAAAGACAGGCTTTACTTTGCATCATTACCTCATCCTCTACCAGGAAAGACAATATAAATTAACTTATTTGAAATATGACACAGAATTGCAGTCCTGTACAAAATGCACCATGATGCTTCTGTTCATCATGTGCAGAGAATTGGGATATAGAAGGGAATTATTTGGCCTCTAATATTGTTACAAGAATGTATGAGGCTGGCAAGATAGCTCAGTGGACTAAGAGCCTGGGTGGGCAAGTGCAGGGACTGAGGTTTGATGCCCCCAGTAGTGCAGGTCATGCCGGCCCACACATGCTGGTAATCCCAGTACTGGGAGGCTGAAAACAGGAGGATCATTAGGAGTCTGAGCTGTGTAGTGAGACATAGTACCAAATACATTAAAAAAATGTATTACCTGCTTCTGTAGATCTTTAAGTTCAAAGTCTTTATTGTTAACAAAGAATCCAATATTATTCACACATGGAACTAGCGGGCATCTTTTATTAGACTCTGTGTCCTAACAAGCTGTCTCATGTAGACAATGTCTTTTCTTACTCTTCAACTTTCCCAGTTAAGCTTCCTCTCCTTTTAAATAAATACTCATGGCAATGGACACAGGGTTCCAGTATTTCTGACTCAGGAAATACACCTTATCATTTACTCACTTTTCTATACTTATCTATACCACCAAGAATAACAGACCAGCACTGGGATAAACTCTGTGGGAAACTGAAAAAGTAAACTGGAAGCTTGGGCTATGCCTTACCAGAGTTTATAATCTAACAGAGGAGAGAAAAATACACACAAAACACCCCCAAGGAAACATAAAGTACTATAACAATATACAATCTTTTACAATAGCATCTGTCCTGAAAACTCTTGACAGGTTGATCTTCCCCAAGCACTGCTTTTATCATATCCTCCGCCTCTCAACAACCTTCACAGCCTTATTTTTTTTTATCACATTAAATCCAGACTCCCATGCTGTTTTTCAGGACCTCTTTAATAGGGCTTCACCTGACTTATTCAAATTCATGCTCTACTCTTTCTACCAGGCAAGAATGTCTCTGAACTTTTTGGGCATGATGTTGCCCCAGTTCATTTACAGGAAGTATAGCTCCAACCCAAACTCAACTTTCATTGCCTTAGAATATTGTCCATAAATCAGTGTGAAAATTTCTTAAACAAGTCAAATCTGACTTCTTCCTGGAAGCTATTTTTTGATGGATCAAGCAATAATGATCTTTCATTTATCTGAATAACAGGACACTGTCTATAGTTTCAAAATATTTAGTTTCATTGGCTGGCCAAGTAGCTCAGCAAATTAAAGCATGTGCAAGCAAGTGCAGAGGACAGGGGTTTGATCCCCTGGTCTGCAGTGCTGGCACTGCCCCCAGGGTGCGCTGAGGTGGTGATTGAGACTGGGCTTGGTGTTATGAGCCTGTAATTCCAGCACTTGGGAGGCTGGAAACATGTGGATCAGTACAAATTTGATCTAGTAGTGAAACCCTGAACACCCTGTAGACCCTTCCCTGTAGTACAAAAATAAATAAATTAATAAATTAATTAATTAAAATAAAATATTTAGTTTTGAATTCTAGCTTTTCTCATCATATGTGTGGCTGTGGATCTCAAGTGTCTACTGTTCCTAATCCTGATTGTATGCAGAGTCAGATAGAGGGGGACTTCAGTATTAGTGATCTTCTATCTGAAGAGTTGAGAATTGCATAAGCTAGTTAGCACTAAGTACATTTGAACACAGAGAAAGGTAGAATAACAGTAATAGTCTCACTTGCAAACACTTATTTTGGTATATGGTCAAGGTTGTAAATATCTTTGATTTAAGGACTATATATACACACATAAATATATAATACGCATATTCATACATGTATGCAAATACATGCATACATACAGACATACATGAATATATTTCATTTATCCTACAAAACTGCTTAGTAAAGACTTGGGGATCTGTTAAAGTTCAAGCTTTTAAATTTAAATTTGAATGGAGCAAAGTGTGGTAGGGTACAACTCGTGAGTTTATCCACTAGCTCTTCTCTTTGCCTGCTGTGAGGCATATGACAGATTCCTTTAGTTCTCTGTGTCTCCCTTCTTTTATCTATGGAAGAGAGACAGTTGTACCTATCTTATAAAGCTGTTTCAGTGACTGGATGTATTATAATTTGTAGGGTTAATATTCTTGATATAGTAAATTTGTGCTTAGAGCTGTGATTAGAAAATTGCATGAACTAAACGGACATGCATAAAATTCAATTCTAAATATGCACTAAGTTCTTCGTTTTTTATTAATTTTATTGAGAAACAAATAGCAATGAGACAGTTCCAAAACCGATTAGTAGGACAGTTTCAATAATTATTACATTGCATATTGTTGTCTTCATAGTAGTTATTCATAGTACAAGATGCAGACATGATATCCTGTCCAAACACTATTAATAAAATCTTTTTTCTTATTGAATTAAGAGAAAGTAGTTGTATATGTATCCTAATGATTTTGTATATACAGATACAAAATGGTCCTTCATTTGTATCCCCTTTTTTGTTTAGTTTTGTCAGAGAGGGGTATTCTTTGACAAATACTTGAGACCCCTTGTCTCTTCAAGCTCTTTCCCTCCACCTTCAAAGTATGATTATGCTTTTTAATTTTTATATTTTCATAAACTTTCTAATAAATCAATATAATGCAGTGATAAATAAATGATGTCATTTAAATTGACTCAGAAACAGGAAAACACAGATTCTTTAATGGAAATTTTAAAAACGAATGATTTACTATAAGAATATTGCAGAATGCACCGGCCCTCACTACCAAGCAATATTTTTTTCTCAGATAATTAGGATTTACTGTAGAAATCTGAGGAAGCAAGAAGAATAAAACATCCGAGCAGGTGTGAGACCAGGAACCCCCCTTAGCACTCTTCCTTGTGGAAGCACTTTTTAGCACTTCATTTTTGCTAACACTCCTTTCTAGAGTATGGAGAGAATCCCTGTGACTTGGCTGATAGGCGTGTGGTGGCTGCTCAGGAAGTTGCTGTAGCCCTCAGAGTGATATCATTCATTGTGTCCCCTAGATTTTCTTCCTTTCTCTCTTCTATTATCAATTCTCTGCTACTAGTAATATCCACTTTGTTTTCACTCCCTCCATCTAGTGATTTTTTCTTCAGAGTTCCGCTTGCTACTTTTTTCCTCTTTGACTCTGTGTCATACTCCTATACTGATCTGTATCCTGCATTCACGTGTTACAAGAAGAATTGACTGCAGAGTGGGATGCAGGATCACCCGCCATACCATGCTGCCGTGCACAGTGCTATTAGATCTCGTTACCTCCTGGGCTAGTTGACCAGCCAGAGCACTTTCCTGGCCCATCAACTCCAGGCCCATCAGCTGTGTCCAGAGTGACCAGGTTACAGATCACAACTTATTGCAACAAGGACAAGAGGGCTTTTCAGAAAGGGCTGATGAGTCTTTCCAGCACACAGAGTACCATATGCTTTCCTTCAAAGCATCACGTAAGTTTAAGGAAAGAGTGAGCCACTGAAAGGCTGAGATATTTAGGGAAGTGCTGACCTAAGATCAGAGACCTAGCAAATTCCTTAATATTCTAGACAGAGTTGGCCTTGACTATATACTGGTTTATTCCCTCTTGGATTATGTCCTCACAGAAGAAAGCAGCCCAATATAGGATAATGTAGTGGGGTGTTATACTGTTAGAACTAGCAAGTGATGTGAAGCATGAGAGGAGGTTGAGAGTAAAATAAAACTTGGTCAGAAAAGCTCTTGCTCTCCCCCAGATTTAGTCTCTATTTTATTTCATTGGAATTATTCTTTCTGTGGTTCTTTTTTTTATTTTTTTTCTTTCTGCGGTACTATAAATTAGTGTTCAGTTCTTATTCTGAAAATCAGGTTTTATTTCCATAGAAAGGTACAAAGCATTTGAAAATTTATTGATACATTAAAAATTTGTTGACTTACTGGCCAAATGAGAAATATGGCCTGGAGATTATAAAGTGTCATTCAGAGAAGGAGCATCACATCAAAAGAGGTGGTATGATATTCTGTGTCACGCCTTTGTACATCAGAGGTACATGCAAATCTGCGGGAGCACTGAGCAATCTGGGGGAGCCTCTAAGTTTCAGAAGACTAGTGTGCAAGCAGCCTTTCAACTGAGTAGTGAGTATTGAGAAGAAAGAGAAAGAAAGAGAACTAGCGTCTTGGGGGAGCTGATCAGTTTATGAAAACAGTTTTCCAACATCCAGGCTGGACATTCAGGCTGAAATTCTGTGCCTAGCTGCTACTTGGCAAAATTGCTTTGTGGTTTTCAAATTAAGTTTATCCATCCCCCTGGAGAAAAAAAGAAGATGC